TCATGGAGGAAGGATAATTAAGAGTTGCAGATTCCTCACAAAAATTTAGCAGCATGTTTACCTTCAGCGACATATGGAATAGTTTTGTGAATTTAATACTCAGTCGGTAATATAGAAAGATGTAATGCTATTTAGTTTGAAAATTGGCGGGCTTTTGAATCTACTTCGACAAAATATAAGAATTTTACATTTATAATAGCATTTTTTTAATGCGCATCTCAGGCGTATTAAAAAATGCAAATAAAAATGTAAAATTTTATGTTAAATAATTTTGGAAGTGTAAAATCAATAATACAAAATTGTAACAACTAAATATTATTTGTAGAATCTTTATTGGTTAAAACAATAAACATAATATACATTTTCTGAATAAACTATATTAAATAACATAAAACAAACAAATTTTTTCTATAATCGTGCGAAATAAAATAAGAGTTCCAGCCATAAATCCTGAAACGAAAAACAAAAAAAAAACAATCGTTGAAAGCGAAAAACTAAGACACATGATTTTGATTGTATTGATATTCGTATATCTAGAATAATTATTATCAAAATGAATATCAGAATTAAATTTTTGTCAAGCATTTCAATATTTGGGAATACAATTACGATTAATATTCATTTTTTCTGAAAAAAAGGCATTCCTTACAAAAAATTCTGCTTGTTGAAAAAAATTACAAGAAAAAGTTTCCTTTTAAAGTTATGAAGGAAAACCGACAGGAAAACTGTGACTTTTCTTTGTAAAATAAATAGGTAATACAGATTTTGGTCAATTTCAAGTTTCTTCATTTATTAAGATCCTGTACACCTGACCTAACATATTAATATAGTAAACCTATTTTTTCGTCAAACAGAATTTTTTTATAATGACTTTTTCCTTAAAATAAAAATAAAGATTTTCCATTTTGTCAACTCCATACGGCAGATGTTTAAAATATAACATTTTACTTTAAATCTTAATAATATACCTACATAAGTAAATATAAATTGACGCTAAACTTTACGTGACGTTAACTAGGCACCTACCTACATCTTACTAATAGGTTTATAACTGACAAACTGACCCATAACCTAGGATTTTTTTTTAAAGTTTACCATACAGACCTACCTAATAGGATCTTTAAGAAACCGAAAAAATCTTTTAATACAGTTTATTTATATAGTTTTTTGCTGCACAACTTTGTCCAGACATAGTAAAACACGTAAAAGTTAACAAATTAACACTGGAAAACAACTACTAAAAAGTGTCAAAAAATATCTATAATTCTAACAAAAAAACAATAACTACATAATACACACATCACAAACAAAATACATTTAAGACCCACGCTACTGATTCCGAGCTGCTGCAACTTGTTTGTTTTTGTCGCTATAAACAACGACAGTGACGCCACTGGCTTGATTGAGAGGTTGGACCCCAAAATGGCGGTGTGCGCGTAGATGTGCGCGTAGCGTTGCCGCCAAGACAAGTTTGTTTCTTATTCCGTGATACTAGTATTATTGTGAAAAAAGCGTAGGGCGCTTTGTCCATATTTCTCGTACATCGAGCGCCCGACGCTTTTTTCACAATAATACTAGTATTTTCCATTTATTATTGTTTTAAGCTTATTTGAAAAATTCTTTTTTACACTTTTTAGTTCGATGTATTATAAAAACGTGTTTTTTAATTTTTTTTTTTAACTATATTTATTATTATTACTTTACAACATATAAAGACTTAGATCCTTTCAACTGCCTAAAATATACACTTCTCTAAACGTATATTGACTAAAAACTCCATTTACGTAAAAAACTTCTTATGACCTTTTAAGCGCCGGCCACAGAATTAATCTACGACGTGCCAAAATCTATATAGTAACTTTTTTTTCATCCATTTTACATTTAAACAATAAAGAAAGTGAATGAACTTGACGTATTTCCGAGACATAATAGGTACCTAACCAAAATCTAATATTTAAATAAATAAATTAAAATTATGGATGTAAACTTGGCAATTACATATTAATGAAACATTCAGTTACCTATACAACCATAAATGCTCGTCTTTGTGACATCTTCGCCAGTAGTTATATCTATTTTTTATAAATATATAAAGTGTTTTAATGAGAAACTTAAACTGAAACAAATGAAGCGTTATTTGGAAATACATATATCTTACTAATTATAATTTTAAATCAATCGGGTGTTTCATCAATATTTTATTACGTCTTTATTTGGATAAAGGTATTAAATTTCTAATAAAATAAGTTTTCAAATGAAGTGCCACGTACTACATTACGTAGTAGATTTTGATTTCACTAGAGGGCGCTAAAATTAAAGTAACACAGAGATTGGCCATATTGCTAAATTTTCCATAAAACTATATCTTCCCGATGATGCGATGATTTATCATACTTGGTTTCCGTATTTTAATTATTTTAGGCATTCCAAACCTTTTGACGGTAAAAATGGTTGTCTGATGGTACACAAATCACAAATTAACATTAAATTGATAGGTGCTTGATTTTGTTTTCGTGAAAAACGACTAAATTTTGTAATATACAGGGTATCCCGAAATTAGACGGTCATATTTTAACAGCGTAATCTATATCCTAAAATAGGAGTAAAAGTTTATATAAACATAGGTCCGAAAACGTTTCTTTTTCGAGATACAGAGTGTTAAAAGTGAAGTCCTGATAACACACTTTTGTAAATATTTTCTAAACGTTTAAAGACAACTAAGTGAAATTTGGTAGAAATGCTTACTTTTTTACGCTCTATTTAATGGACTAAACCCTAGTTTTTGATCATCTTCATAAGTGGGTAAATTAGGGGGGAGGAGGGGGGGGGGGGGTAAAATTGCTCTTAGTTCTTTTGTTGACAGTTTTTAACATTTTTGACTATAAAATTTGGAAAACCAATGTTTTCTTTATAATGAAGCAACTTTTGTTGCATCTCGCTAGGACGCTCCATTTTCAAGAGAAAAGCATTTGAAAATTTCTTGATAAGTGAAATTATCTTATTCGAGAGTGTAAACAATAATTAGTAAGCCTGTGGAATCAGAAATTTTACTTTTTTTTAACTTTGGAAAACCGTTGACTAAAGAAATTTTAGAAAATATTTACAAAAATGTGCTATTAGGACTTCATTTGTAACACCCTGTATCTCGAAAACGAAACGTTTTCGGACCTATGTTTACATGAACTTTTACTCCTATTTTAGGATGTAAATTACGCTGTTAAAATATGACCGTCTAATTTCGGGACACCCTGTATATGTATAGGGTAACAAAAAGTCCTATTCACAAGTCTCTGCTGCCACAATGCGCTAGTTCAGTGATGATGTAATTATGGTTCCACTGACGATTAAAGTGACAGTAGATTTTTTGAGTGCCTTTTGTTCGTTTTGTTTACCTAAATTATATCGTTTTTTTCACTTTTATAAATATATTCCTAAAGTAAGTAGATAACATGCATCAAATATACAATCGTTTAGTTACCAATTACATACCTTTAAATATTTTTTATGATCTGTAAACAACATTTAGAAATAAACTAAAAACAGTAAAAACGTATATGTCAAATTTATTGATGTTTTTGCTAAAAGTTTGGTTAGAATTAAATGTCAGTGGAACCAAAATGACATGACACTGAACTACCGCATTTACAATCATGCAAGTCACTGTCATGTTAGAAATACTTCACTAAAACATATTAAACATAAATCATTGTATTCTCTTTTTATTATACACCTTTTTAGCCTTATTACTACAGTACTATATTACCAATGTCTTCTAATAAAACTAGTAACTGTAATTAAAACACTAAGGATAAAACTAACATTAAGTTCACACTCTTAATAGTACAAAAAGATTTATTTAACAATGAACAAACCCTACTTTGATACTGTCACGGTGACGTATTGTGGTGTAAAGCCGTGGTTTTTACGAATTTAAGATATTGTCACGGGCCTTTCGGTCGTAAGGGAGTCACTTTAAATAGTGACACTATGTGCTACCTGACTTGGGGAAATAAAAGAGCAGAACAACAATTAACAATTTATTAAAGATAAAATAATATATCCAGAAAGTCACAATAAATATAACAAAGGGTCTTACCAAGGGCTAAACATCTAAAGGCGACGAGGGCACGTCACGTGCACTTTTTCTATTGGGATGCGAGACGATGATGAAACTCAAACTAAGAATCCCGGATGAGACTCCGGCAGAGAGTCTAGAGTGAGACCCTGACCAAGAGTCTCGGATGAGACTCTGGCCAAGAGTGTCATTATTGTTCACCCAGCCCATTTTTATATTAATCGATTTTAAGGTCAGTACGTGTCTAGTTTAATGTTATATATACATTTTCGAGAATGTAGTTAT